CCTACCTCACCCCCTCCTATCTTCATCTCCCCCCGCCAAAAAAAAAAAAAAAGTTGAGTTCTGAAAACCCAACGCAGTGATCTTTTCTGGGAAATGGGGGAGCAGCGGAGGAGAAAGGGATTAAAGCGTTGAGATTTGAGAAGCACCGTGAACCATATTTTTTGTCGCCTTTAGATAGCTGAAATGGAGTGTTGTTTTTTTTTTTTTCTCCAACAGGAAGTAATTGCAGCACACATTGTTTAAATAATATTATCAGGTCTTATTTCAGTAGGTAAAAAGCCCTTGTAGAAATCCAAAATAATGCTGCTTAGTGAAATGTTGGATGTGGATGGGCTTTGTCCCCCCCCCCCCATTAATTTTAAAATAACCAGTGTAAAACACGAAATTCAGTTTAAAACACTCCTGTTCCTGTGAACTGTGCTTTATTCAGTCCGTGTTCTGATTAGGTCCATAGCGCCTGCTTTTATACAGGACATAACATCAGTGGCACTTTTTAATTTGAAAAAATTAAATCTCACTACCTAGATTCTAGTGGAATTAGAGTGGGGTGAAAAGTGCTTAGTTTGGAAGCTGCAAATGTACCCCTTAGGTCAGATATGTGACTTTGGGAGTACCGGGTCTTAGACCAGATTTGATCTGGCTTATGAACTGCTTCTGCCCATCTTAATTATTCTTGATCAAGGAAAAATATGCTGTTACTTCACCTTGCTCAGTCAGTATTATAAATCAAATTATGTTTCCAAAACAGCTGAAAAGGGACCCTAAGTAATGAATGACATTTACCCCTTTGCTGGGTGATGCTTTCAGTTTGGTGATTTACTACAGCACAAAATTGATTGTGTTTATTCTGATAAGGAAGGTAATTAGCATTGTACACTTCAAAATAATGGATTGATTTTTTTCTGTATTTTTAAGATAGTTAAATAATTTTTCATGAATTTTATTGACTGATTTATGATCCACATAGATTTCTTTCAATAGTATCTACTGAAAGTAACTAGAAATCTAGATGGTCGTTAGAAATCAACTAGTAAAATTGTTAATCATAGATAATTCACGTAATGACAATGTTAACCCTTTGAAACCAAGGGTTTACATTTTCTTGTGTACCCTCTTTTCTTGGTACAGTTAAACGTCTTGGGCTGTATTCTGCCTAAGTTATGTATTTCAGTTATACTGAGACAGTTATTTTTGGCAAATACATCATTCTGTTCATCTTATCCTGCCTTTTGAAGGAGCTTTATCTTATACTAATTGCATTATGGTACATCCTAAGAAAGCAAGGTTTATGTTGTCTGCTTTCTTCAACTTTAAACATTTTGGCAGGATATGTGAGATTCACAAATTAAAAACTCAGGTAGACATTAATATTAAATATTTTATGTAATGGTTCTCTGGCTTTTTGTTCAAGATCCCATTACACTCTTAAAAATTATATAAGATTCCAAATAGGTTTTGCTTGTATGAGCTTTAGGTAGTGATAGTTATTTTATTCAAAATTAACTTAAGTGTTTATTTATTAAAAGTAACTAATAAGCTATAGGTTAATATGACTAATACGTTTTATGAAAAACAACTATTCCAAACCAAAAAATTTTAATAGAAAAATGGCAATTGTTTCTTACATTTTTGTAAATCTCTTTAATGTTTGGCCTAATAGAAGACAACTGGATTCGCCTATCAGCTTCTGCATTCAATCTGTTGTATTTTGTTCTGCTTGAAATACATGAAGAAAATCCAGTTTCATTGCCATATGTTGGGAGTAGTACTTTAATCTTTTTAGATAATTGTGATAAATGATTCTACAACAAAACTCAGTAAGTGGTAATTTCTTTTTTGGGGGGGTATAACAGTATTTTTATATAATAGAGTTATGTGGTGAATTTTTTAAATTAATTTTTGGTTTTTTAATTTTGTATATATGTATTTTTTTAAGATTTATTTATTTATTTATACAAGCACTGGGTACAGTCAGAAGTGTGGGAGGGTGAGAGAATTCACCAGAGCCAGAGTGGGGAATAGAACAGGCAGACTGATGAAATACACTGCTGAGGGGAGCAGCGGGCGGCAGGAGAGGTCTGTGCGCCATGTGGGACCCTTGCTAGCGGCCATGGATCAAACCTGCGCTGCAGAGGCTGTGGGCAGCTTCGCAGCCCAGCACTCAACTGCTTCGCCACCAGGGGAGGCCCTTAATTTTGTATATTTTGTACATCATTTTTCATTTTTGCACAACATGCATTTTCATCTTGGTTATAGTCCCCGTACAATTCCCACCACCCTTGTTTTGCTCCTATACCTACCCCCCCCATTTATGGTTGCTTGTTGATTTTGATTTTTACTTTATTATAATTAGTCTTTTTCCTGATCCCTTATTTAGGTTTTCTAAATTCCTAGTTGTGATATAGAATCTGAAACTATATAAATTTTTGTATGATATTGTGCTAAAGTTGATTGGTCTGTTCTGCACTTTGATTTTTCACTCATGTGTGATGGATCTAATGAACCCCCTGAAAGGGTCTCTGGATTCCCCAGGGTTCCCATACTACACTTTGAGAACTGCTGCTTTATTGTAAATAATTGAATAGTTTAGATTTAATGTGGTTACTGAAGCTGAAAGGGATCCTGATAATATGTAAATGAAGTTGTCAGGTAGGAATAACTAAGGTAAATACTTCCTTTTTTATGCTATCACTTCATCAAAATATTAGTAATATTATAGCTAATACTTAGTGTTTATAATGTTCCAGGCACTGTTCATAGTGTTTCTATTGTGTCATTTTGTGATGGATAAGTGAAAGGCAAATATAATTTAACATTTTTTTCTACAAATAGTATAATTTGACATTTTACTGCATGTATGTAATTATAGTTACATTTTTAGAGGGTATATACCACTTAATTTTTTATAAGGTTCTTGAAGATAGGGAATATGCTTATCCCTAGCTTCTTTCTCTGTGTATTTTGAAATACATAGTTTTAGCCTGCATTATTAGCTTATTAAAAGTAGAGTTTTTAAATAACAAGTAGTTTTTGAAAAGATAATTTTATTAATGTGGAAATTTGAAATTTATTGTTTTATTCGGTTATATCAGTACAGCTAGTATTTGAAAGTTTGTTGTGCTAAGTGAATTTTTCTTCAAAAACAAAAATAGGTAATTTTTTGAAGTTATCTGGGCCTTTTTTTTTAATATTTATTGGATTTATGCATACAAGAACTGGGGTACAGGCCAGAGGTGTGGGGGGTGAGAGGATTCACCAGAGACAGAGTGGGAGCTTGTGCTACAGAGGCTGCACATAGCTTCGTAGTGTTGTGTTTAACCTCTTGCGCCACCAGGGAGGCCCAGTATCTGGGGTTACTTTAAAAATCTCATGTATATTAGAATTTCAGACTCAGATTTTTTTTTTAAGATTTATTTATACGTGCAAGAACTGGGGTACAGGCCAGAGGTGTGGGGGCTGAGAGGATTCACCAGAGACAGAGTGGGGAACAGAACAGGCAGATCAATTGAAATACATTGCTGAGGGGAGCAGCGGGTGAGTCAGGAGAGGTCTGCTGTGCCATGTGGGTAGCTTCCTGGCTGGGGATTGAACTTGTGCTGCAGTGGATTTTTTGGTAATAACTTTATGGAGATAAAAATCCATCCTTAATACAACTCAGTGGTTTTTAGTATATTCACAGAAATTGTGCAACCATTACTGCTGTCTAATTTTAGATTATTTTCATTACCCCCACAAGAAGTCCCATGACTCTTAGCAGTCACTTCTCATTTTCTTTCCTCCCCAGCCTTTTACTTCCTTCCTGACTTTATAGATTTGTCTATTCTGGGCATTTCATAAAATGGAAACATACAATATGTGACCTTTTGTGTGTGGCTTCTTTCACTTAGCTTAATGTTTTTAGGGTTCATTTATGTTGCAGCAGTAGTGCTTAATTCTTCTTTACCACTGAATATAATATTCCATAATAGATGTACCACACTTTGTTTATCCACTCATCAGTTAATGGACAGGTGGGTTGTACTTTCTTTGTCTATCGTGAGTAATGCTTTTTTTACGTTTGTGTCCAAATTGTTGTGGAGACATGTCCAGATTCACTTTTTGGTTTTCCCAGTAAATTTTACATGAATATAAACCATACATGTAGTTTTTTATTTTGCAACTGATAAGTGTATTCATTTTTTTTTTTTTTTTTTAAAGATTTATTTATTTATTTATTTATTTATTTATTTATACAAGCACTGGGTACAGTCAGAAGTGTGGGAGGGTGAGAGAATTCACCAGAGCCAGAGTGGGGAGCAGAGCAGGCAGAAGGACCGAAGTACACTGCTGAGGGGAGCAGCGGGCAGCAGGAGATGTCTGCGGGCCTTGTGGGACCCTCCTCCAGTGGCCGGGAGCAGCCAGGGATCGAACCGGCACCGCAGAGGCTTAGGGCAGCCTCGCAACCCAGCACTCAACCACTGCGCCACCGGGGAGGCCCAAGTGTATTCATTTTTTATATGAAAGTTTCAAACATTGCGAAACCATATACATGCAGTGTAAAGAAACTCATTCTTTTTGAAGATTTTGCCCTTTTGACGCCATGTTTTATCTCACTAGAGGTAACTGCTGTTAACTTTTTTTTTTTTTAAGATTTATTTTATTTATACAAGAACCAGGGTACAGGCCAGATGCGCAGGAGGGTGAGAGGATTCACCAGAGACAGAGCTGGGAACAGAACAGGCAGACTGACTGAAATACACTGCTGAGGGGAACAGCGGGTGAGACAGGAGAGGTCTGCTTGCCACGTGGGTTGTTGCTCCAAGGCTGGCCGGGATCAAACCGGCACTGCGGACAGCTTCACAGCACTGCACTCAACCGCCTGTGCCACCAGGGAGGCCCCTGCTGTTAACTTTTTAGTGTGTATTCCTTCCTTTAGTGTTTCCTATGTGTTAGCACACTTACATGTCACAGATTAATTTACCTTTCTTACAAAATTTGTTCAGTTTATCTACTTTTTTAAAAAAAATATGGAACACTTCACGAATTTGCATGTCATCCTTCTGCAAGGGCTGTATCGATCTTCTCTATGTCATTCCAATTTTAGTATATGTGCTGCCAAAAAAGGCACTCCTTATTTCTAGTGACTAAATTCTACATTGGCATTTTACTTTTCTCTTTTGAGCATTTGGGCTTTTTTTTTTTTTTTTTTTTTGTTATTCTTGTTAATATAAATGCTGCTGTTGTCATTGCTTTCTTGATAGAATGTCTGTATTTTCTTGATGTGGGTGAACTGGATGGCCATATAATAAATTCGGGGAGACAGACATTGTGGGAATGAATTGACTGTTTGACAGTTGAGTTTAAAGTTCCTTTAAGATGCCTGAATGGAGATGTCCAGTAGTCTATTGGGTGTCTGAGTGATCGCAGCACTTGGGATGGAGTTTTGTCCTGGGGATACTCATCTGTACATTAATGACTTAAAGGTAATAATTGAAAGTGTGTGCGAAGATGAAACTATTTGGTAAGTGTCCTTTGTGATGGAGGACAAAACCAAGGGAATGCTCATTTATGAGAGGTGAGTGAAAGAAGAGAATTAAAATATTGAGGACGTTGAGCATGCCCTGTCTAACTTAGAAAAAAAAACAATTATCTTGAGTTTTACTGAATACCAACTATCAATCTACTGAGAAAATTATCAGAATTTTATAATTTGTTTTCCTATCAAGGTGATTATGAAAACATTTTTTACAGTGGTATTTCTGCTTCTCTTAGGATAAACTGTATTTGGTGATAGTGAATATCAGTAACTGAAATGCTACTGATTTGGGGCTTATAATTTTCTTTTTAGCATTGTTCCTGTTAGTTTTAGTTCCCCAAACATATTCGGCACTTGAAGTGAGTAGATGATCATGTTAATCACTTATATTTTGGAGCCATTTCTATAATATATTTAATCTTAGAAGTTATGGCAAAAAATTTTTAGGGACAGTACTTTGGGTTATTGTGATGTGTGTGAGTGTGTTTTGTTACATTCTTCTTAATAGTCTATTGTTGCTTCAGTTGTAACATGTTTTTTTTGATTAGTAGTAGTTAATGTAATCTTTGTATTCCTTAAAAATGTTCATTAATCTCTAAGTGTTTACTAGGTATTTTAGAATTTGAGAAACAATTGGATTCCCTTAAATAGTGGGTTAATGAGTTGGCATAATACACAAAGAAAGGAGGATATAAGGGAGCAAATACATTGATGGAGCTTGATCTTGTGGAAGAAAAGAACAGAAATTAACAAAAACTAGACTTTACTGAAGAACACTATGCCAGGCCTTATTGAAATATGAACATAATTCAGGACTCAGAAGGTTGTTGAGAATGGTGCAGTTCTCGCACTTGGCTTCGCTTGTTTTAATTCCTGTAGCAGCAGGTGTCAATCAGAGGTCTCAACCAGGGATGATTTTGATTTTAGAGGACATTGGGCAATGTCTGAAGATATATTGATTGTCAGAGCTGAGTTTGGATACTACTGGTATCTAGTAGGTAGAAGCTAGGTATCTAGTAGGTAAGGATACATTTGATTGTCAGAGCTGAGTCTGGGTATCTGGTAGGTAGAAGCCAGGATACTGCTGCTAAACATCCTTCATGCACAAGACAGTCCCCACAATGAATTTATCAGGTCCAAAATATTAATTAGCATTGAATTTGGAAAGCCTTGCATTATAGTAACTATGTCTTGGCTAGGCGTTGGGTCAGGAACCCATCTTTTAGTCAGCTAAGGGGATCATAATTGATTGGGTAAGGAGGTTCAGAATATAGCTATTTGTGTATTCCTTTTTTTTTTTTTAAAAAAAGCAGATTCCTGTGGATTGGGTAAATTTTCCAGGAAGGGGCTGTGATCATGACAAATCAATCACCAGACTTAGATTTTCAGTAAATATTTCTCTCATCTCTGGGATATAGTGAAAAGTTTGTATGGTTGAACTGGAATAAGAATTGGTGAATTATTAGAGTTAAGGAGATTAAGGATCTCTGCTTATACATGTGAACTCTGTTTATAGTCCATGAGGATGGTAATAGTTTGGTTGGAGAAAAAAACTGTGAAGAGTTTTGAGTATTGAATAGAGTACCACAGTGAAGAAAAACAGAAGGTATAAAAGCAGAATGGCATAAACCTTAAAAGAAAAGTATAAAGAATTTTGTATAAGAGACAAAAAGTGGTTGTGCTGGAAAACTTTAAGTCCCTTGAGAGATACAGCCTGTTTAGGAGAGGCCTTAATAACCTATGTCTGCTGTAACATTATCCCAAACTTGGTGGCTTACAGCAACAGAACTTATTTTCTCACATTTTTGGAGGCCAGTCAGAAGCCAAAGTGTTGACATGGATATATGTCCTCTAAAAACTCTAGAGAAGTCATTCCTGACCTCTCTCATTTTTCAGGGCTGCTCTTGGCATTCTTGGCTTTGTGATTGTATTACTTCAGTCTTTTTCTCCAATTTCATGTTTTCTCCTTTCTGTGTTTGTTTCCTCATCTGTATTTCTTCTAAGGCTACTTGTCTTTGAATTTAGGGTCCTGGGTAATCCAGGATTATCTTATCTCAGAATCCTTAATGTAATTAAGTCAGCAAAGATCTTTTTTTCTTTTCTCTTTTTTTTTAAGATTTATTTATTTTATGCATACAAGAACTGAGGTACAGGCCAGAGGTTTCCAGGGTAAGAGAATTCACCAGAGACAGAGTGGGGAACAGAGCAGGCAGATTGACTGAAATACACTGCTGAGGGGAGCAGCGGGTGAGACAGGAGAGGTCTGCTGCGCCATGTGGGTAGCTCCCTGGCCGGAGATCGAACTTGTGCTGCATTGGCTGCAGATAGCTTCATAGGCTGTGTCTTAACGAAGCCCTTGAGCCACCAGGGAGGCCCCCCCAAGATTTATTTATGCATACAAGAGCTGGGGTATAGGCCAGAGATGTGGGGGGTGAGAGGATTCACTAGAGACAGAGCGGGGAACAGAACAGGCAGATTGACTGAAATACACTGCTGAAGGGAGCAGTGGGCAAGTCAGGAGAGGTCTGCTGCGCCAAGTGGGTCACATCCCTGGCTGGGGATTGAACTGGTGCTACAGTGGCTACGGATTGCTTCATAGTGCTGCTACTTAAACCCTTGAGCCACCAGGAAGATCCCTGTTTTGCCCCTTTAGATAAAAGGGGATGGTTTGGAAAGTGTCAGTTTTCAGTTAAAACTAGGAAGTCTAATTTTATTATCTCAGGATATTGAAAGTAAGAAGCTTCTTTCCATTGCAAAAGGGTTCATTAATTTGGGCCCCCAGTAGAAAGCATTATTGAGAAGGGGAGATCAACAGAGGGTCAAGTTGGGAAGAAGACAATAAGGGAAAAGTAACTGATATGATAAACTTGGATTCGTTTGGTGTATGTGAATGTCTTACAGAACCTTTAAGTTTAGGGATCTGTGCAAATGGAAGGTTTTCAGAGAGAATTCTGATGCTATTGGTAGATTCTGTAGAACCTGCTTTGAGTCAGGCTCAAGATGAGTATTGCTGAAAAGTTATTTTATTGTCTCAGAAGCACAGTTGGCTAGGTGACTTTCTGAATTTGCACAAGTGTTTTATTGAATGAAAAGAAGTTTTGTAGTAGCCTCTAGAAACAACCCTTTAAATTATTTTGGAATTGAGAGGTATTCTGAGTTGGATTTTGCAGTAAATCTTCTGATAGAATTACCTTGGGATGGCCAAACATTTCCAGTGATTTTTGAAATAGCAAGAGCAGAGTGGACAAAATAATCCTATGGTTATATAGGGGGAAAAAAGCTCCTTAAATTTGAAGTGTTTTTCTTTGAGGAGGGTGAATGGTTATGATGAGGTGATAGAATAATTGTACTTACTTTACTGGCCCAGGTCATGTATTAATTCAGTCATCTCTGTGTTCCTCTCATCAGTTTTATTTGGTTGCAGTGGACCATTTGTCTGTGCTCATGTTCTGTTAAAAATAACTAATTTATGCTTTTCATATATTTTTTGTATATGAGATTAGGAGTTTGTGTGTGAGTGTTTGCATGCACTTTTTTGCACATTAATTTTGTTATCAAAACAAATGTATTATCTTGGGTAACTTGTTTTTTGCTGCATTCTAGAACAAAAAAATTTTCAGTTACATACATATTGTGATTTGCTTTAGTAAGCTTCGTAGATGCTGTTTTTACACTTTAAAGGCAGCATCTAGTAAGCCAGTCTTGCCTCTTTTTCCCCCAGTAGCATGTGATCACATTGTGTCACAATTTGTTAATTCTCACAATATTTCAATGTTTTCATTATTATATCTTTGCGCTTTGTGATTAGTTATCTTTATTGTTACTATTGTAATTTAGGGGCACCGCAAACTGTCCCCTATGAGACAGCAAACTTAACTGATACATGTATGTTGTAATTGCTGCGTGAACCAGAAGTTCCCCCATCTCTCTCCCTCTCCTTGCACCTCCCTATTCCCAACACAGCAATATTGAAGTCAGTCCAATTAATAACTGTAATGTCCTTTAAGTGCTTGAGTAAAAGGAAGAGTCACATAGTCTTTCACTTTAAATCAGAAGCTAGTAATAATTAATCTTAGTGAGAAAACATGTCACAAACTGAGATAGACTAAAAGCTAGACCTTTGCATCAGTCAAGTTATGAATGCAAAAGAAAGGTTCTTGAAGGAAATTAAAAGTACTACTTCAGTGAATGTACTAGTGACAAAAAAGTTAGAAAACCTCATTGCTAATATGGAGAAAGTTTAGTGGCCTGGATAGAAGATAAAAAATTCTCATCAGCCAGAGCCTACTCCAGTGCAAGGTACTAACTCTCTTCCAGTCTGTGAAGGCTGATAAGAGGTGAGGAGGCTGCCAAAGAAGTTTGAAGCTAGCAGAGATTGGTTTATGAGATTTAGGGAAAGAAACCATCTCTAACATTGAAGTGCAAAACGAAGGAGCAAGTGATCCAGAAGATCTGAAATAGCTGATGAAAGTGGCTACACTAAACAGCATATTTTTAGTGCAGATGAAACAACAATCTATTGGAAGAGGATGCTATCTACGATTTTTATAGCTACAAAGGAGAAGTCAGTGCCTAGCTTCAAAACTTCAGAG